CCAGGTCTTCTACCAGCAAACACTGTGGTTCTCAGTTCTTTGCCTCTGAGCACTAATGGCATCATTTCCTTTCTTGGTTCTGAGGTTTTTGGATATAAAATAAACCATTTTGCAGGTCTCTAGCTTCCAGAATGCCTGAGTCATTGACTCTATCTATCTATCTATCTATCTATCTATCTATCTATCTATCTATCTATCTATCATCTATTTATATTTATTTATCTGCTGTCTATCTACTATATATATCACTTATAGAAAAACCCTAATTTATACACTATCTTTAATTTTTCTATTCCTCTTAACTATTAAAAATCTTCAGCAGAAAGACACACATGGTATATACTCATTTATATAGACCTATAAGATATGATAAACATAATGAAATCTATACACCTAAAGAAGATAAACAAGAAAGAGGACCCAGGGTAAGACGATCAATCCTCACTGAGAAAGACAAATGGGGTGTGCATTAGATGTAGGAGAAAACAAGTAACAGGACAGGAGCCTACCACAGGGGGCCTCTGAAAGACTCTACCTAGCAGTGTATCAAAGCAGATACTAAGACTCATAACCAAACCTTCAACAGAGTGCAGGGAATCATATGAAAGAAGGGGGAATTTGTATGATGTGGAAAGGATAGGAGCTCCACAAGGACCAAATATATCTGGGCACAGGGGTCTTTTCTGAGACTGATACTCCACCAAGGACCATGTATGGATATAACCTAGAACCTCGGCTCGGATGTAGCCTGTGGTAGCTCAGTAACCAATTGGTTTCCCATAGTAAGGGGAACAGGGACTATTTTTGACAGGAACTCAATGGCAGGCTCTTTGACCTCCCCACCCCCCAAGGGAGGAGCAGTCCTGCTAGGCCACAGAAGTGGACTTTGCAGCCATTCCTGAAGATACCTGATAAAATGGGGTCAGAGGAAAGGGGAGGAGGTCCTCCCTAATCAGTGGACTTGGAAAGGGGCAGGGAGCAGATGAGGAAGGGAGGATGGGATTGCGAGGGAATGGGGGAGTGGGATACAGCTGGGATACAGAGTTAATAAAATGTAACTAATAATAAAAATTTTAAAAATAATAAAAAAATCTTCAGCAGAGGTTTGAATTAGGTTTGAAGGTCTCTAGAAGCTCAGACAAGAAGAGACATGCTGAACTATCTTGTTCTTGATTTTTCTTTTTCTTTTCTTTTTTTTTCCAGAAACTAAAAAAAATTCACAGGTGGAAACAAGCCCTCACTTGAAACAGAAACAGGAAAGATTGTTATGTAATGACTTGGATGGTAGGTTCTTCTCTAGAAAACATACATTTCTCAATGTCTGTTCAATAAACATTATGTATAATAATGTATATCAGATAAAACATGGTATGGTGTTCTGATTAGTTTTTTTTTTTTTTCCAGCTTGACACAAAGTAAGGTCATGTGTGAAAAAAAGAGTATCAGCTGAGAAAATGCTTCCATTAGTTAGCCTGTAGGCAAGTCAATGGAACATTTTGATTGATGTAGAAGAGCCCAGCCCACTGTGGGTGGTGCTATCCTTAGGCAGATGTCTTAGGAGGCAAAGCCAGGAAGCAGCTCTCCTCCTGTTTTCTGCTCCTGCTTGAGTTCCTACCCTGACTTTCCTCAATGACAGACTGTGATGTGGAAGTATAATACAAACAAACGTCTTCCCCCTCAGATAGTAAAATGTAAGGAAATCTGTTCAATCCAGGTGTTGGCTCCTGGTTGGATGGGTAACGCCATGGTGAGCTGATTCCTGGAGGATGGAAGGCATTTTAGGTATCCAAATGGAAGCCAGCTCACAGCAAGAGACAGAAGCCTATCCAGTGCTGAGTGAGAATGGGACATTTTAGCTCAAGGTGGGCTGAGATCCAGGGAGGTAGAAGGAACATATGAAAGGCAGGAAGCAGGTAGAGAAGCATACAGCCAAGCTGACGTTCCTCAGAACTCGGCAAATGAAAATGGCAGGAAGCTTACACACTAACAAAGGAGGAAGGAGAGCTCCAGAGGCCTGACAGTTTGTAAGAAGACCTCCAGTTAAAACCTGCAGTTCAGGAACAGAAGCATGAAAATAAACAACACATTCATCTCCAAGGACTAGAAACATCACTTAGGAATTCATCAAGAAGCAAAATTGATGAAAACCAGGTTGTAAAGGAGAAGGATGGGTAGATTTTAGAAGCTTGCTTTCAAGGAACGAAGCCACAGAGCATTTATGCCATGCAGGAAAGATCAAATGTAATTCCAAAAACCCTTCATACTTCAGACACCATACTTACAGAAACTAATTTGAGTTTGTACCTTGGGGCTAAAGTCTACAATAAGGAAAATGAGGTTTGTAGACAAAGGGGAAAGGCAGTCATTGCAGAATGGAATGTTAACACATCCCTTAGCTACATCCAAATAGCAGGCAGCTTAAGGCCCAGTTATTCCCCCTGATTGTATCCTAGGCTTTCAATTCCCAACCCAATGCTGCCTGTATTATGCCTGATTACACCTGAATCTGGCTGCCATCCCAGGATGCACTTTTGCAGCTTCTGACACCCAGGAGGGCAACCAATTTCTCCTACTTAGGTTATTCTGAATCACTACTTAAGGACAAACTCTTCTCCCAGAGTAGCTGAGCTATTCTGGCCATATAAGAATACTCTTGCATAGATTTGGTGGATGTCCAAGTCAAGATTTTAAGCAGGAGAACTTGCTGTAAAATTACCTTGGATGTCTGTCAGTACTCTGGAGCCAGCAAACCTCACTCTGCCCAATAAAGTTTTGAAGCTGATATTTGCCAAACTCTGGGCATATTTATGATTTTCTCTTCTCAATTCATAACTACGAAGCCAAAGGTTTTTGCTTCAGTCCCTTCAGGGACTAGAGGAGGCCATTTTATAGAGACACACTGTAAACTATCTAGTTAGATGTGTCAGGCATTTTTTTTTACTTTTGCTTTTTAAAAATTAAAATATAATCATACCATTTTGCCCCTGTCATTTCATTTCCCCTCAACTCATTTCATCCCCCTTTGCTCCATCCATAGTCTTGAGAACTAAAAAAAATTAGACTCATTTTCTTTGCTATCACTACACACGTAGGTGCATAAATACATAAATGCAATCTGTTGAGTCCATTAGTATTGGTTGTGTGTATATAGTTTCATAGCTGCTTGCTTAGCATTGAATAACTGATTAAGGGGGCTTATCACAGGGGAATGCTAATTCTCTTCCACTCACCATTCCTTAGTTGCCTGTAGTTCTGTGTCTAAGGATGGGGCCCTGTGTTATTTGCCACCCAATGTTATGTGTCTATTGGTGTCGTTCTTTTTCAGATCTTGTTTAGGCAGTCATGTTGTTGAGGTATCATGGGTGGAGGTTCCTTGTTATGTGTAGGAGACACCGTATCACAGCACATTTCCTGGCTCATTATAGTCTTTTCTCCCCCTCTTCTGAGGTGTTCCCCAAAACTTATTTGTAAGGGTTGTGTGGTGCATGTATCCACTGGAACCGAACACCCATAATCAGTTGTTCTGTGCATTTTGAGCATTTGTGGTTTTCTGTAGCTATCTCTGGTACAAAGAGAAGCTTCTTTGACGTTTGGTGAGAGCTATACTTATCTGTGGGTTTAAGTACAAGCACCTACAACATAGGAATTATGCTGGTCTAGGAAAGTGGAAGTTGTAGGCTCTCCTTAAGATCCATGATTTCACTAGTCCTGGGTAGCTGGCTAGGTTTCCAATACCAGACATAATTTTTCTCCTGTTAAGCAGGCCTGAAGTTCATTTAGACATCTGTCATTTACTACCAAGACAGGCACGCCACTATTGCAGCCTTAGGGGTATCTTGCCATGCTGGTCATTGTTGTGGTTCATAGATGTCACAGCGGATAAGACTACCAGTTTCTGCCTTCCCTTGGTAGCTCTCATTGGAATTTCTGGAACTATGAAAGCTAGTCCTCAGGCAGAAGTCTTTCAGGTCAGACCCAGCTTGGATCCTCTGAGTCTTGTGTTCAAAGACATGATATCTTCAGCAATAGAGGCTTACTTTCAGCCTCTAAAGGAAAAATCAAGGGCAACAGCAATAGCCTATATCTTAAAGGGTGGGGGAGTCACTTAGATTATATGTGTGTGTGTATGTATGTGTAGGCGATATATATTTAATTCCATTCAACTGTACAACTTCCTTGAAGACAAAGAAGGATGGGTTACAAGACAGAGTCCCAGAAAACTGCCACGAGAATGAAAGTGGAAAGAGCAGCTCTATTCAAAGTGAAATCAGAGCTATTGGAAGTAGGCCTTGAAAGATAATGGAATGTTCTGATGTTTGGTGGACTCTAAAAGATGTCATTCTGGGAAATATATGAAGGAGAGATTTCAGATAGTATTTAAATACAAGGCTGTTTAGTTCTTGGCTCTAAGACAGTACAGCAACAAGTAAGAAAGAGAGCTATTGAGAGAGTGATGTTTTGCATCTCCCCAAACTACAAAAGTTTTATTTTTTATAAATATTTTTTATTTTTATTTTTTATATTAATTATAGTTTATTTACTTTGTATCCCAGCTATAGCCCCTGCCTCATTCCCTCCTAATATCACCCTCCCTCCCTCATCTCCTTTCTGCCCTAAGTCCACTGATAGGGGAGGTCCTCCTCCCCTTCCATCTGACCCTAGCTTATCAGGTCTCACCAGGACTGGCTGTAATGTCCTCCTCTGTGGCCTAGCTAGGTTGCTCCTCCCACAGGGGGTGGGGAGGTCAAAGAGCTAGCCATAGAGTTCATGCCAGAGACAGTCCCTGTAATTGAGGGGAAAGAAAAGGAAGGAGAGGGAGGAGCAGTCCTGTTAGGCCACAGAGGAGGGCTTTGCAGCCAGTCCTGAAGATACCTGATAAAACAGGATCAGATGAATGGGGAGGAAGTCCCCCCCATCAGTGGACTTGGAAAGGGGCACGATGGAGATGAGGGAGGGAGGGAGGGACTGGGAGGGAATGAGGGAGCGGGACATGGCTGGAATAGAGTTAATAAAATGTAACTGATAAGAAAAAAAAAGAAAAGGAAGGAGAAAAAAAGATAGAAGAGAAAGAGCTGGAGGAAGAGAAGGGAAGCAGCTTTCTTCTCTTTGTAATGCTGATCTTCCCCCACTAAAGACAAAGGCAGGTAAGCTTTGTTTCATTTGTGAGTTATGTAAGTGTGGAACACCTGGAGGGGTTAACACTGAGAAGATCATGTACCAAGGATGATGAGAACTGATGAGATGGGGGTGGGGGACTGGAGGAGGGTGATGCAGATGAAGAATTATCTGCTCCAGAAGAATTAGGCAGTGCTGTACAGGTAGCAAACCCTGGGATGTTGTAGCAGCCTAAGGGCAGAAGACCTGTGTGAGGTTGTCTTGGTGGTAAACCAGAAGTCTGGATGAAGGTAGAAACCTTCAGAAAAACCCACTAGGTATAGTAGAGGCATAGAGAGACAAACAGAGAAAGAGGCAGCTACACTGAAAAGGTGCTTATGCAGCTTGTGAGGCAGGCCAGTGAAGGCATTTGTTGCCACGCCTGATGGCCTGAGCACCATCCCCAGGAAGGAGAAAACAGACTCCTACAAGTTGTCTCCTGATCCCCACTAATGTTCCCTGGCGTTTGTTCATGCATGCCTTCACACATTTTATAAAACTAATCCTTTTGTTTTAAGAGAAAGAGAAAGTAGCTTATAAGACAGAGAAGTGTCATGCTGGGGCTACGCAGGGAAAGAACAACTGTGGGTATGAGATGCAGGGTTATTTTATGCATGAATGACATGGCTAGAAAGATAAGCACACCTCGCATTGGCATATGTTAGTTATTTCAGGACTCTAGGGCACAGGGGTTGCCCTGAGGTCTGTTAGCTGGTCCTGTGGAGATTAGGAATGGTAGATATCAGCGCCAGAGCTTTATAAAGGGCAATATTAGTGTGTGGGCTCAGGGTTGGTAAGTTTGTATTTGAAAAATACCCTCTGAATAGCTAGCTCTAAGAACTGGCTACCCTGGAACCATGGACGAGGGCCCAGTTGTCAACACATCTGTATTAGCAACTTTTTCATCACTGTGATGAAACATCTGACAAAAATGACTTAAGAGATGAAATACTTATTTGGGCTTATAGTTTCAGGGATATTTGAGCCTACATGGAAATAAAGGGGCAGTGAGCTAATGGGCCAGGAAGCAGAGAGAACTAGAATGAAACTGGCAGCATTTGTGACTGTCAGGGTTCTTCCCTAGCCACCTACTTCTATGAGCTAAGCACCATGCCCTAAATGTTCCTTAATCTCCCCAGCTCCCATACAGCCCCACCTGCTGGGGGCCAAGTGTTCATACACATGAGCCTGTGGGGGGCATTTCAAGTTCAAACTGTAATTACATCTCTACATAAAAAACAAAAGCTGTGCTTAGTGAACTTGGGGTTCTTATTAAACTGGAAATTTGGGATCCAAAACTCTCAAACTCACTTGGTCATCCAGGTAGGATTTATAATTTGGACTTCTAACAAGCTTTAAGTTGACAGTGGACCCACTGATCTGTGAACCTCACTTTTTCAGTAGTGCTGACCTGAAGGAGGTGAACAGAGAAGAACATTGCTAGAATCCTAGATGTCAACCAGCCCCCTCCATAACCAAAGGTCCTAGAGGAAAGCAGGTACTCAAGCTACGCAGCCACCTATAGGACCCAGCCTGGGTTGTCTGAGCTCTACAGATACTGGCTTCAATACTCTACACAGAGAAACAAAGGCAAACTCAATATACGAACTGATGGTCTTGGCTTGGTTCAGAACTACTGAGCCTCTCCCAAACATACTTAGATTCATGGAAGACAACGAAATTCTGTGAGTTAAATTGATCACTGGCTGTTTAAGGCTACACCCATGTGAAGGTACAACCTAGATGCTATGGGGTTTTGTTTTTATTCCAGTATAATATAAACCATGCTTGATACACCTTCAAAATGCAAGGGATGTAACAAGCCAGATCATGAATTGGAATATGTAACAGTACTGCAGGAGAGTCCTCTCTCCCCATGGTTGCCTTGATTGAAGCAGTAATTTCTATCACCATGGATATGTTTTTCTGGCTTTGACTTTGGTTCCTTTTGCTTTTAGACCTTTTTCTTCTTTCTTTCTTTCTTTCTTTCTTTCTTTCTTTCTTTCTTTCTTTCTTTCTTTCTTTCTTTTCTTCTTTCTTTCTTTCTTTTCTTCATTCTTTCTTTCAAGACAGGATCTCTTTGTGTAGTTTTAGCTGTCCTGGATTCACTTTACAGACCAGGCTGGCCTTGAACTCACGGAGATCTGCCTGTCTCTGCCCCCTTCCTCCTGCCTCCCCCCTCCCAAAGTATTTGGATTACAGGCATGAGCCACCATACCAGGCTTAGACCCTTTTCTTAATTCCTCTTGCTGTGTAGATTTTTTTCCTCACCTGCTCTGTAGTATTACATTGAATGACTCAATAAATTTCTTTCTTTCTGGTGATGGATTGTCTCCAGTTTGTGTGCTGTTGTCGTCACCTTTGTGCATGTCCCATACATACTGCTGGCTACAGATGAGAATTCCACATCCTTGTCAACACATCTTCTGGTTGGAGCTCAGCAACATCACACCATAGTTGAATGTGCACAGTGTAGAACAGAGACAAAGGCAAGGAGGTAAAAGAGGGTTTGGAGAAGTAGAAGTTCCAATTGGGACAGCTTGCCTGGGACAGGGCAGCCTGACCTGGGTGAAGCAGCTTGCCTGGACTGAAATGTTTCTGTAGATGAGAGATAGATGGTCGTTTCCACAGCCATTAGGGAATTCATGTACACTGGAGACAGCACTGAGCGTTCACTGTGTTCTAAAAGCTGGGTAACTTAGGCACAGCAGGTATCAACGTGAGTATTTCACACTGTCTCTAGTGAAGATGACAGATCTAGGGAGAGATGGGGGAGAGACACAATCAGGCAATGTGATTATTCAGCAGGGATCCATGCTAAGTCCTTGCCCTGGAATTAAGGAGAAGATATTCATCAATCCAGTCTCCTGGTGCTGGAGAAGATGTCATTGGGAGGTGAATTGGATCCAGGGCTTGATAAATGAGTGGTGGTTCATTAAGAAGGTAATGAAGAGACAAGCATGAGCAATGGCTTAGAGGTTGGGATGATGGTGACAGGGTTGGTGACAGCCCAGGGCTCTTGTGGAGACTCCTGGGTATGGGGGACAGCAGGCTGAAACAGCCTTTTGAGAGCAGACAATGAAAGGGCATGTGCTTCATTGAGCAAGAGCTTTGAATGGCCATTGAAGGTCTGTAAAGATGGCTCTGCCAGAACCCTTCAGAAGGACATTACCGTGACAGGCTTTGTGATCTAAGGTAGACAGCAGAGGAAATGAAAAAGAAAGGACAGATTCGATTTTGAATAAAATATGGCTCTGTTCTCTCTTGCAGGACAAGAATCCTCATTTGTGAGGAACTGGAAAAGTAGTTAAGGTGATGATTTTGTTCTGCCACGGTGGGCCCGGTCTGAAGGTAATTTCTCCAAAGCAGCTGTTCTAAGTGTTGGCTGAATGGCACCAGGGGATTCTCTGGACACAGGTGTCATGTTCAATCTTATTCATCTATCAATAACCCAGACTCCAAGTGCTGCTCTGTTGGCAGTGTAGCACTTCTGTGACAGGAATTCTATTAACAGACACACTTTGTGGCTCCAGTCTACAGCCCAGCTGCAGTCCCTTCAGAGCTATGTGGAAATCCTTGGTCCCTTTCAACAGTGGCTTCAGGCTGAATAATCCCAGAACATGTGATACATCTTTTGGCTGAATAACTCAAACATGCATGATGCGTGTCTTCTTCCTACTGCTTGGGGTGTGTTCCTGTGTCTGTCTTTTTAAAATGGGTAACAAAATACAAGCATTTAAACTGTTCTTTGAAAGATTTTATTTTGAACGAGTGTTTGTTTCTGTGTGGGTTTGTGCACTTGAGTGATGTGCCCTCAGAGGCCAGAGGGAGGTGTTATCAGGTCTCTTGAAGCTGGAGTTACAGGTGGTTGGGAGCTGCCTGGCGTAGGTGCTGGGGACTGAACGTGGGTCCCCAGCAACAGTAGTACAGGCTCTTAACCTCAAGCCACCTCTTCAAGCACTACTTAAGGTTTTGAATTATTAACATGGGAGGTGGGGTGGGGTTAAGTTTCTCTCTTAACTCTAAGGCAACGGCAACGACTGTCTCTTAGCAGCGGCACATTATTGCTGGTTACTTGCATATTGTTTAAAACAATTACAGACATGCTTGTTTTCTTGTTTTTGAAAACACAAATGACAGCACTTTTTTTTCTGCTTCTCCCTCTACCTGGTGCCAGCTAGACGTCTCTAATCTGAAAAATCCTAACTGAAATAGTCCAAAATATGAAGCTTCTTTTAGTGCCAACATAGCGCTATCAACGGAAGTGCCACACTTGACTCCATGATGGCTCATAGGCCAAACACGGGAACACTAAAGCAACTGTGTAAAATTATCCTCAGGCAAAGGTGTATAAGAAATAGAAATGATTTATGTTTAGAGTCGTGTGACATTCCCAATATACCTCGTTGTGTCGATGTAAGTATTCCACAATAAAAACATCAAAATCCCAAACACTTTGGTCTCAAACATTTCAGATAAGATATTGGATCTGGGACTATTTTACATTTAGTTTCGTGCCATTCTTTTCCCATTTTGGTTTTATTATAGAGGTTTTTTTTTTTCTTTTTTTGAGACAAGTTCTCACTCTAGCCATCATCACTCATACACCACTGTTGGGGTGGATCTGTGTTTTGTATCTTTGGGCAGATATGTGGAAAAAACTCCTTGCTCTTGCTGTATGATCATCATATCCTATACTTCTACCCTCTGGGGTTCTAGTCTCTCTACATTATCATTTATACATGGCATGGCCAAAACTTTAACCTCATATCACTCTGAGGTATCCAGGCATAGTTTGTACTTTGCATTAGTCTTTTTTTTTTTTTTTTAAGTTTCGAGATTAGAGTTACATTATTTGACCCTTCTATTGCCTCCCTTTTAAGCCTTTATATTCCTAAATATACATTCTGTCCAGTCTGTATGTTACCTGTGTATATGTCTTCAGGGCTGACACTTAAAACTGAATACACAGTTTGTGTGATTTTCTCCATGCACGACTATTTCTCTCACTCTCTGCATTGCTTGCTCGCCTATAGTTCTTTGTGTAGAGACGAGGCCCTCTGGGCTTTTTCTTAGCCGCATTGACTTATCTAGTGTTGTTCGGATCCTGTTTAGGTAGTTATATTGATGAGAATGTATGTAGCTGACATCACTAGGAGACAGAATCTCACAGCAAATTCCCTCATCCTCTGGCTCTTACAGTGTGCCCACTCCCTCTTCCACAAGGTTCCCTGTTGGTTGAATTGCAAATTGGGAAAGCTGACAAGGAAATCAGTGTGCAGAATTCTCAGAAAGCGAAAAGTAAATCTACCATATGACCCACCTCTACCACTTCTTGGCATATTCAGCTTGTAAAGAAAAAATGAAATCATGAATTTTTCATGAGTGCAGGGGTTGTTTTGTAGATACATGCATTGGGACTGGCCTCCATAACTCCGCATTTTGGCTGGTTGTGTTTCACTGTATTTGTCTCTATTACAAAGAGAAGTTTTCTTGATGAGGTGTGAGGTCTATACTTAAATCTGAAGATTTGGAACTAGGAGCCTCCAGTGAAAGAGAGCCTGCAATGTTTGTCTTTCTAGGTCTGGGTTACTTCACTCAGTCTGATCTTTTCTAGTTCCATCCACTTACCTGCAAAGTTCGTGACTTCATTTTTCTTTACAGCTGCATAGTTTTCCGCGCTTTGTATGTACAACATTTTCATTGTCCATTCATCAGGTGAATAGCATTTCCATTCTTCCTACTCCTTAGCTATATGGTATAGGGTGGCAATGAATCTATAGAGTAAGTCCTTTGGGCATGCCGAGAAGTAGTATAGCTGGGTCATATGGTAGTTGTTTTATTTTATTTTATTTTTTTAGCTTACTGAGAATTCTCCACACTGATTTCCACATTGGCTTAACCAATTAGCAATTCCACCACCAGTGAATGAGGGTTTTCATTTCTACATGTCTCCTCCAGCACTCATCTGCTGTTTTGTTGATCTTTGTCATTCTGACTGGGGTAAGATTAAATCTCAGAGTTGTTTTGATTTGCAATTCCCTAATTGCTAGGGATGATGAACATTTTTTGATATATTTGTTATTTTTTTTTTTCTTTCTTTCTTCTTTTGAGAACTCCCTGTTTAGATCTCAGGCCTGAGTTTTGAAATGGTTCATTTTTTAAAAGTATTTGTATTTGAGTTTTTTATATATTCTAGATATTGATCCTCTGTCAGATGTATAGCCAAGAGTCTCTCTCGTTAGGTGGGCTTTCCTGTTCACACAACTGTTTCTTTAACTGTGCAGATCTCTTAGTTTTATGAAGTCCTACTTGTCAATTGTTGGCCTTTACCCTTTAGTTCTATTCAGAAAGTCCTTCCCTATAGGTAGGATACTATGGTAGGGTACTCCTATGTTTTCTGCTAGCAGTTTTAGTCCTTCGGGTTTCATATTTAGGTCTTTGATCCACTTGGAGTTACTTTTGGTGCATGGTGATAGATCCAGGTCTACTTTCACACTTCCACATATGGACAACGAGTGTCCCACTTGTTGAAGATACTTTCTTTTATACAGTTTATGTTTTTGTCAACTTTTTCAACTATTAAATGACCATAATCATGTGTGCTTAGATTTTATTTTATTAGTCTATGTGTCTGTTTTTATGCCAGTACCATATTGTTTTTTTATTGTTATGGCTCTGTGATATATCTTAAGATTTAGAATACAAATTCAAGTCATTATTTTCTTTTTGCTTATGATTATTCTGGCCATCCAGGGTCTTCTGTGTTTCCATGTGAATTTTAAGATAGGTTTTTTTTTCTATTTCTATGAAGAATAAAATGGGGATTTTTTTAAAATTGAAATTGAATGGAATCTGTAAATAGTTTTTGGCAGGATGGTCATTTTCTCAATATTAATTCCATCAATCCTTGAATATGGTATGTCTTTCCACTTTCTAATGTCTTTCTTCAGAGGTTGAAAGTTTTTGTTGTAGAGGTCCTTCACTTCCTTTATCAGGTTTATTCCTGGGAATTTTACTTTCTTTGAGGCTATTGTGAAAGAAAGTGTGACCATGATCGCCTTTGTGTATTTGCTGGTGATGTATGAAAAAAGCTATTGATTTGTTTAATTGATTCTAGATCCTTCCACATTGCTGAATTTGTTTATTGTTTTTAGAAATTTTCTGGTAGATTTTTTTGGGATCTCTAATACATAGTATTATGTCTTCTGCAAATAGGGATAATTTGACTTCTATTCCTATTTGCATAGTTAATTCTTTTGCCTTGCTGTTTCAGCTAGTACTTTGAGCACAAAATTGAAAACAAACAAACAAACAAACAAACAAACAAACAAAACCCAAAAAACGTTGGGATAGTGGCCATTCCTGTCCCATCCAGACTTTAGTGGGATTGCTTCACGCTTTTCTCCATTTAGGATGATGTAGGTTTCTCATGTAGATTTCATTTTGTGGAGGTGTGTTCCCTCTCCTCCTACATTCTCTACGACCTTCATTATCAAGGCATGCCACATTTTTTCCAATGACCTTTTTCTGTGTCTATTGCGATGATCATGTGATGTTTGGCTTTGAGTTTATTGCAGTTTAGTATCTTTATTCACTTGTAAATGCTGAACCATCTCTTGCATTTCAGGCATATAGCCAATTTGGTCATGCTGTACATTTTTGTGTTTGCCTGTACTTTGTTTGCAAGTATTTTGTTAAACATTTTTGAGTCTATGTTTATCAGGGGTCTTGCTCTATGGCTTTTGTTGTTGTTGTTGAGTCTTTACCTGGTTTTGGTATTAGAGTGATACAGGCTTCATAGAAGGAGTTTGAAAATATTATTTTTGATTCTTTTCACTTTTCCTGGTTTTTTTTTCTCCCTTTTTTATAGTTTAAGAAGAATTGGCTATAGATTTTCTTTGAAAGTCTAGTAGAATTCTTATTTGAATCCATCTGGCCCTGAAATTTGTTTTTAAGCTGGAAGTCTTTATACTGCTACTTCAATCTCCTCATTTGTTATTTGTTTGTTTACATTATTTACCTCTTCTTAATTTAATTTTGGTGGTTTGTTTAAATCTAGAAATTCATCTATTTCTTTTAAGTTTTCCATCTTAATGGAGTGCAGGTTTTAAAAAATATATTCCCTTAAAATATTCTGAATTTCTTTGGTGTCTCTTGAAATGTTTCCCTGTTCATTTCTGATTTTCTTTTTTAAAGATTTATTTATTTTTATTACACTAATGTTTTCCCTTCATGTATATCTGTGTGAGGGTCCTCTGAAGTTGGAGTTACAGGCAGTTGTGAGTGGCCATGTTGGTGCTGGGAATTGAACCCAGGTCTTCTGGAAGAACAGTAAATGGCTTTAACCACTAAGCTATCTCTCCAGCTTGCCCCAACCCCCATTTATGATTTTATTAATTTGGCTCATGTCTTTCTTTTGGTTAGTTGGGCCAAGGGTCTGTCACTATTATCTTCTCAAAGAACCAGCTCTCAGGTTCATTTTGTTATTGTTGTTTTCTTTGTTTTAATTTCACTGATTTCCGCTCTGATTTTTATTACTTTCTGCTGTTGACTATGTTTGGACTTAGTTTGTTCTTGCTTTTTCAACTTTTTGCATTTGCATTGTCATTTGTTCGAGCTCTTTCAGATTTTTTAGTGTAGGCACTTAGAGCTGATTTGGAGTAATGATGCCTGCTTGCCTCCTGCTCCCATTTGATGGAAGGAGTGCTTTGTTTCATCCTTTTACTTTAAGGCAGTGCTGATCTTTAAATCTAGGATGTATTTCTTGGAAACAACAGACAGATTAATTTTATTTCCTGATCCAGCCAGTCAGTGCATGCCTTTTAATTAGAGAATTGGACCATTGATACTTAAAGTTACTACAGAAATATGTGTTATTTGTGGTCATTGTGCTGTTGATTTTGGGGGGTTGTTTGTATTCCCAGTGGTACTTTGTGTTTTAATAATTATGACTTGGTATTTCTTTCCATAGTCTTGGCTATGCTCACTCCTCTCTTCAGCCCAAAATAATTCTTCCTATTTTATTTTTGGTTTGGTTTATTAGATATATTTTTTAGGCTGTTTATGTAGTGGAAAGTTTCTCTCTTCTCCTTCAATTATGGTGGATAGTTTTGTGGCTATATTAGTGTAGGCTGACAATCATGGTCTTTTAGAACTTGGAATGCATTGTTCTAAACCCTTTTGGCTTTCAAAGTTTCCAATGAAAAATCAGCTGATATTCTAATCGGTTTTCCTTTACATGTGACTTGTGGTTTTGCTATTTCAGCTTTCAATACACTTTCTTTGTTCTGTATTCTTAGTGTTTTAATGATGATATGCCATGGAGATTTTCTATTCTCGTCTTGTCAACTTGGTGTTCTGTGTGCTTTTTGAATCTGTATGGGTATGTCTTTTCTTGGTTTGAGGAAGTTTTCTTCTATAATCTTGTTGAAAAATCTCCTCTATTCTATTGACTTGAAACTCTTTTCCTTGTCTCTCTGGTTTCTTCATGGTGCCCAAAATTTCCTGTATATTCGTTTCCTGTGTTTAATTTTTTTTTTTTATATTCCTTACTTACTTGGTCTAGATTCTATGTGTCCTTAAACTCTACCTTCTGTTTGGCTCACTCTTCCTGTAAGGCTTCCCTTTCTCCAGCTGAGTTATTGAGTTTTCCAATTCCATCTTTATTTCAGCTTGTGTTCTCTTAGATGTTTCTACTTCCTCATTGCTCTTAGCCTTATGTTTGTGTTCTCTTGGACATCACTCAGATGTTTATTCTTCTTAGCCTCCTTTTCTTGACTTCATTGAGCTGTTTCTACGTGTCTTTTTTTTCCAACTCTTTGAGTTCTTTAATGAAGTTTTTTCTTTTTAATTTTTCCTTAAAAAAATCTGTGTCCTGATGTTCATGCAGGTAATTCTCATTGGCAAGCATATATATAGGATCATTAGGTTTTGGAGAGAAAATACTAGTGTATTTCACATTGTTGGTATTTTTTTGTGATAGGATCTGGGTTCATGGACATTTTGTCAGGTCTAAGGACAGAGCAGGTTGGGGCAGAAGAGAGACTGTATGTGCAGTGGACACTGCTGTAAAGCATCGGATGAAGAAACTGAAACCCACCATCGAGCCGCAAAGCCACATTCACATTCTTCTTCTCAGGAGCAAACTGAAGTGAAGCATGTCTGGGGAGCTTTTCAAGAGAGGAGTGTCTTCACTTAGTGGTTAAGCTTGGGAAAGACCCAGATAAGTACCTCATTTGTTCATTTTTAAGAACTGTCTTGGATGAGGTCTTGCTGTATATTCTGTGCTGGCCTAGAATGCACAATGATCCTCCTGCCTTGGCCTCCCCAGTGCTGGGACTACAGGAGTGAGCCTCGGCGCTCCGTTTACACATCCAACAGCTGTTTATTTGGTGAGATGAAGCTAGGAACTTGGAAGGAAGGCTGACAAAAATGGAGAACATTAAGGGAGGGAAGAAGTGCCTAGTAATCCTGTCTTCTTTCAGAGACTATTGATTGATTTATCTTCCTGTAGTTAAAATCTGATTAATTTAAACTTAATAGGAAAGTGTTTGGGCTACAGGTGGGAGGCCTGTTCTCACTCTTTGATCCTGCTTCAGGAATGCTGGCCTGCTTAGTCTTTCCTGGATCCTTCTACTCTGGTCATCATTAAAGTGGATTTGAGGGGCTATGGCACACATTTATATGTAGAATGCCTGTTTGGCCCATTCCCAGCACCAAACATGAGCATTCACACCGGAAGAGCCAATGGTCTGAATGGGGCTGGAGCTGTAGTGGGCATGTTTGTCCTTTTCCTCAGCTACTTCCCCTTGCTATTACTTGGTAATCTCCCATCCTGGTGCTTCCTGCTCTTCTGCTCCTAGAGAGCTAAGGCACATGACAGCATTTTTCCAGAAAGGACTCACTGTTACTCTGGGAAAAACGAGGCTTTGGGTTTCCCTCAGCAGTCCAGAACACTGACTGTATTGCCATGGCATCGGAAGCCAACGAGAAACAACTTTTCTCTGACATGTGTGCTTGGGGCTGGAATGAGACACATACCTGACTCCATTTCATCCCACATTGATTCTCAAGATACAGACTTTCGGAAAACACGCTGCCCACGAGGCAATAAGATCCTAACCCAAGGAGAGCGCTTGGTACACCAGAATGTAAATAATTTACTCCATTCACTCATTCAGCAGGGTTGGGAAGGGAAGATTAATGGGCAGTTTGAAAGAAAGTCCAGTTAAAACCATGGCCACCCTCATGTCATTAGAAGTGAGAGCTGGCTTCATCTAAACAAAAGGGGATGACTCCCCATCTGGCCGGGACTGGAGACCACACAGTGGCTGAGAACTGCCTGCCCATGCAGGGGCTCGCTCTCCCTTGTGTCCAGCAAAAGGAGATGTGCTCTTGGAGGAGAGGTCACCCAGTTACTTGTTACAAGCCTACAGAAAGGAATGAACTTAAAACAAGCCTTAAGTGGTACAATGACAAATATTTCACGTCACCTCTAAGATTTATGGCATTTCGGTCTCCCACTTGAAAGCTTTTACTTCAGTGGCAAAGCTTACCAGGGCCTTGCCTATTGAGTTGAGACTCGTTCCATTGTTTGCTTGGGTCAGCGACCCCTGGCTAGTGTGCACACGAGCCAAGACTCGCTTAAGGCTAATCCCTCTGTCGGTGTACAGTGTCATTTGTGGGTGGCCCACAGAGGCCACTCCAGGGTGGGAGTGTGCTCCCGGCATCTGCTCAGTGGGCATCTCATGCCTTCACTCTAGGGCATGGGGCTGCATCCGGGAAGGGCTGAGGCCAGTTTGTACACCACCTGCAGAACCACAGCTAGGGGCTGGTACTCTGGAGGTGCGTCTGTTGTATTGGCATACCTGTCCAGAAAAAAACGGAAAGCCTCGCCGTGCATGACGGCTCACTTCCTTTTGATAAGTACATTTTGACTCAGAGCCCAACTGGCTGGACCACAGGAAACAGCCATCTGAAAGAACGGGAAGGTACTTGCCACCCGTTCTGCTGTATACCGCAGTGTGTTGTCCCTCTGAGACGTCTGCTGCTACTGAGAGCATATTAGCCACCGGTGACACACTGCCACCATCTGCCCTCGGGGCTGCGGGGTTGCAAGCTGGGATGGCCTTCTGCATTCTGTCCCAAGAGATGGATCGTGGCCCATGCAATTCTCTGACCAGGCAGACTCTAGGGTGAGAATATGGACTGTTTCTTTGTCTCATGTGGTGAAAGTATTTTCTAGCAGTCATTGTGTGCTTCCGACAAGCCAGACACAACTAGAAGGATTCTGTGTGCATCATTCCATCAACCGTCACAGAGCCTCTGGAAGGTGTGTGAATAAAACTGAAAGGAAATGTGAGGCACCAAGAGACTCTGTGATTCATTCAAGGGCACACAGCTAGCAAATGAAGGGTGAAGTTCCAAGCCAGGCCACCAGATGCAGGGTCTCTTAACCATTACATTATATATATATATATATATATATATATATATATATATATATTCCTTCCCTACTAGGAAGCTTCAGGTGCCTTTCTGCCTTCAAGTTCAAACCCAACTGCTAGATATCCCCAAAGGGAAAGTCCATTTCAGACCTTGGACCATCTACAAAATGTTTCTTTCCATTTCCAGGACTGATGTCTTTTAAAGGATAATTGACAAGCACATTCCCTTTGGATAAGACTTGGCTTCTTCTTTCAGAGGCTGTTCCCCCGAAGGTGTCTCCACCCACCCTGGAAGGGTGCCTGTGCTATCGAGTGAGGTTACAAGCACAGCCTGTTTGCTTCCAAATGCTTCTGAATGGGAGAACAGTGATGATGGCCAAGACTGTGCTGCCTTCTCCTGGCTGCCTTGAAAGGACCTGAACAACAAGAGCACAACCACTGGGAGGGATGAGCAGTCATAGGGAGGCAGAGGGGCCTGGATGCCTACAGAGAATCATGGGCTCTGAATCAGTGCCTGTGGACACGGAAGGCTGTCCACGGGCTCAAGACGATGTGTATAGGGTATGTGCAATGTTATTTTGTGGAAGGGACTTGAGCCTCTGTGGATTTTGGTTGGTGTCCAAGGGGCTCTTCAAACCTGGATCGTCTGGGATAAATCGCAGGCGTGAACATGTCTGCATGTGTATGCAGGTGTGTCTGCTCATGTGTGCATCTGTGTGTGTCCTGTGCTGAGGTTGCTTACTGAAAGGTGGCGTTCCACGACAGCTCTGAGGTGGCATAACTTCTCCTTAGGTTGTCTTATTTTAATAAAAAGCATTGACCTCCATAAAACTGAAGAGAAGGTGAAGTAAATCTGAAGAGAGTTTTATAGCTCACTCGGGATCCTCAGGGTTTCTTCATACTTGTTCCTTTGCTGCAGCTCTCATTCTTACTGATGTAGAGCTTTCCTTCTACCTTTTTCATTTTATCTGCTGCCCTAAGTATCTACAGAATTTCTCTGCCATTTTATTTTATTTTTTTTTAAAAATTAAATATATTAATCTAATTATTTTGTATGTATCGTGTACCATGTGTGTGCCCAGTATTTGTAGAGGCCACACTGGGTCCCTTGAAACTGGAGTTACAGGGGGTTGGGAGACATCATGTGAGTCCTGGGAATCGAACTCTATTCCTCTGCAAGAGCAACACGTGCTCTTACTCACTGAGCCATCTCTCCAGCCCTCATTTCTCTTCATCTTACTCACTTGAATATTTGTGTTTATCTACCGTACTTTCTTTCTTTTTAAGCTATATTTTCAATCCCACATTTATTGTCATCCACTTTTTTCTGTATTTTGCACCTATGAGCAAAAAGCCAGGGACGTCATTACTGGAGAACTTGCAACTTCCTGAGATCTTGCTTTTGGCTCCTGCTGGATGCTCTCCACAGCGTCAGTCTACATCTTCACCTTATTATTTATAAATGTGTAGTATGTTAGGCAAACCTTCTCTACCTACTTCTCTGTTGATCTATTTATGTCCTTCTGCCATATTGTTTTAATGTAATAGTTTATACCAACAAATGTTTTCATATGCTGTTTGATGTAAAATGTTACATAACATGAAAACACGGCAATGTATTATCTGTGGCACTATGTCGATACATTAAGTTATTATAAATGTATGTGTTAATACATGCTGGATGATCTCTGCTTTTTGCTAGACTTTTTCTCTCTTTTCTTTCTCTTTCTCTCTTTCGTGTGTTTGTGTTCATACTTTCTGGAAAAAGTTTAGTGTCATCGATTTGTCAAGAAGCCTTTGCCACTTTTATTGGAGTTGATTAATTTTCAAAATAATATAAAATTAATGTGGTAGGCCTTACAATCAAGGGCTAGCACACACACACACACACACACACACACACACACACACACACACACCGGTTAAAGGAGTATGTAAACCACGTGCATGTGTACTGTGTACTGACTGTGAAATTCCTAAACACTTAATATTTCTTGCTCCTGTGAATTTTAACCTTTCCCTTAATTTTCAACTGTTTGATTGATAGTGGGGAAAAAAATCAAAGAGATGAGCATGTAAAATTATTACTAGTGAGTAATGATAGTCTTAATGATTGTGTAGCTGCCCCTGTGAGTTTTGAAGGGGGATAAACCTATTGTTTCCAATATTTTTTTTTAAACACGCACACTTCTTGTTAAACTTGAGTGCTATCTCCAGTGACAAAGCCTCTTCTAAACAACGCTACGCTGGTACCACAGTGAGCTTCTCACCCTGTGCTTGGTGGCTCTCCTTTGCACACACAGCCCTGCATGGCGGCTCTCCTTTGCACACACAGCCCTGCATGGCGGCTCTCCTTTGCACAGACAGCTCTGCATGGCGGCTCTCCTCCTTTGCACACACAGCTCTGCATGGCGGCTCTCCTCCTTTGCACACACAGCTCTGCATGGCGGCTCTCCTTTGCACACACAGCTCTGCATGGTGGCTCTCCTCCTTTGTACACACAGCCCTGCATGGTGGCTCTCCTTTGCACACACAGCCCTGCATGGCGGCTCTCCTCCTTTGC